ACAACCATTCAGTTCAGAGTAGGGTGGAGGTGTTCTGCTGATGTGGAGGGAGTTACAAGATCCTCCAGATGAGTAACTAATTCCCGGAGTTGAGACACCGAAATGCAGCTCACCCCTTTGATTGAGTGCCCTTCTCTTACCCTTGCGTGGATGTTGGTACCCAGCAAGTGAGGTTTTGGAGATTTTGGGTTGTCCACCTTCCTCTCTCTTCTGTGTTGTGGGTCACTGAAGGTTTACGTGGCCTGTTTCCACTTCTGTCCTGGGTTTCCTTTGTTGGGTGACGAGGTTGTTACTGACCTGGGATTGTTGCGGAGGATGAGTGCAATCGATGGACTTCCCTTCGGATTCTAGATGACACATTCCCAGATCTCTGGCATTATGCTATCCTGTCCTGTGAGTTCCTGGGGTCGAATGTTAGGTTCCCTCTTGACTCTGGGACTTGAGGTGAAGACGATATGCTCCTCATCCTGCCCTTACGAGGATGTTGGTACCCAGTGAGTGAGGTTTTGGATGTAGTTGACTTACAGAGCACAGTCCATAGCACCCTAGCCACTCTACACTATGAGACACATCCTCACCTGCCCACTTTCCATCGTGGGATTGAGTGATTCTAATTTCTGTTTAAGATCATTGCTAAGCTATCATCTCCCATGCAGATGTGCTCCCTTCAATGTTTGGATCTCCCTAGGTCATCATCAGGTTAAGAATGACCTAAGAAAGTTGAAACGTTGTTACTTGTCTTGTACTTTTCAAGTAAAAGTTTTCAGTACCCATATCAACTATCTCTACTGTGTGTATATGTATATTTACTTCAAATGGGTTCCTCGTCATCATGAATTATCACCTTTCTTGCAAAATTTGAATTTTGTTCTAGGAAGCATTTATAGATTATATGATAATTCTGATTTTAAGTAAAACTATATACATACAAGTGTTAAAACCATCTTTTTAATTTACTGAAATTAATGAATTTTGTAGAATTTCTACAGATGTGATTGAAGTTAAAAAAAAATCTGTTTATTACACATTTTGTTTTTAGAAATCACTCACCCCGAAGAATTATCCTTTTGCTGGCCTGTAAAATCTGTTCAAATGAGGAAAACTAAACCATCAGCCAAAGTCAGCCTTTTCAAAAAAGAAAAAGATGAAAAAAGTGAATCATTAGGGAACTTGAGTGAACGACAGGGGACACCAGAAAGACTTAGTCCTAGTGTATCACTTTTAAGTACTCCTGCTAGCAGTGTGAGTATTGTACTACAGTATACTTGTTTATTTTAAATTTGATTAGTTTGGAATTGTCTTAAAGTCTATACCTAAAACATGTTCACAGAATAAAGTTAAAATTTTATATTCATAAAATTATATTTAATTTTTAGGTGAAAAACACAAAATGTAATTAAATGTTTGAACTTGTTTGATACCACAGATATTGATTTTGAACACTTTGTGTTATTGTTCTCTCTTTCTCTCTCTCTATTTTGTGTTTTCTTTCAAGAACATTATAATCACACAGAATCACAAAAAATAACTTAGAACAAAGAAACCCATACCAAAATCTCTCTCTTTCTTTCAACAGAGGCAAAACATAAATAAAAAGTTGGAGATTTTTGGTTTTTAGACTAAAAATTTATTGTAATCAGAATTTTAATTTTTAAAGTCACATGAGAAACATCAGCAATCTTAAAATAGTCCCTGAATGTTTCATTTATTTCACATACTCATTGGAGAGTAATACATTAAAACTATAAGATTGACAGTTGCTGTTGCATGATTATGTTGGTGCAAAGTTTGTGTATAACTGTACCATTTGTTGCACAATGTATACTGTGTTAATTCATTTTCCAAGTATGATCACAACTGAATTGTGCTTACCATAGCTTTAAAGTATGTTTGTTTTTTTACTATTTTCTTAGCCTGTATGGGAACATGATTTTAAACATTTACCTTTATGAAACGTATATTATACTAAAGGATTGTTGATTTATTATGTAGCCAATGTGGAGCAACTCTCCCCGTGGTCCTTTGGGAAGTCCGTCCTTTAATGGCTCAGTCAGTTTTCAAAGTGACATAAGCTCATCAAGTCAAGACTTCGTGCTGTATCAGAGCCCTAGTACACCTTCTGAAGAAGCCAAAAGTTCATTATTTCGACCTAAGGCTCTGATTGACAAAGTCAGGTTGAATGCAGGGTAAGTTTAATCCCAAAAGTAATTAAAAGTTATACCCAACTCAGTTTATATGGTTTAAGAGTTTCAGATGAGAGTAAGCTAAAAATATAGATCAGAACCAAAGAATAACTTAAAGTTTAATATTGAAGACAATTCTATATGACAAACTGACCACAAATGTTTTATTTATAAATAACTACACAAGAAAAGTACACAATGATTTTTTCAAGTCATATTTTTATTACTTTTAAAATGTGTTCTAGCATCTAATAACATTAGTAAATTGACAAACTGATTTATGAACATAATGGAAATTATTTTATGCAGAAAACATAAACGTTTCAACAGAACATTGGCGTGTTTCTTGAGATAGACTAGTATTCTGTTGAAACATGTATGTTCACTCCATAAAATAGTTTTCGTTATGCTTATGTCAATCTGCTATTGTATTAGTTTAATGTTGTTCCATACAAATGTTTTTTTAGTTGTTATAATTTCTCTAATAAAGATCAGTAGCTGTTTTGTAATCATCCAATGTTCACTAATTTTTAAAAGTGGGAACAAGAAATGATGCATTGATTACTGCATGTACTTTGCTTTGAAAAGCATATATGATTCACATATTTTCTTCACACATTTCTAGTTGGCTAGATTCTTCTCTCTCATTATATGAGCAAGGTGTTATGGAAGGCGATACTCTCTTCTTGAAGTACAAGTACTACTGTTTTTATGACCTTAACCCAAAGGTGAGATAAAAGTATTTCTATATAGTTTAATGCATAGGATCCTTTTTATTTCATGATTTTTCATCTTTATATTAGGGATATTCTGTATATGAAGTTTCTAAAGGGAATTGTAATTTGCTGTATCGTAGTTATACAATTTATACTGAATTATTGTTAAATCAAGTGGTGATAACTTGTAGTTTCACATGTGTTTATTGATTTTTAAGTGACGTTCTGAAATTCAGTTGAAGAGTGTAGACTTTGAATAATTTATTCAGATTATGAAAAAGTGTCCTGATGATTATCATCATAATCTTTTTAAAATGTTAATGCTTTAACCCATAAATTCCTGCTTAGCAAAACCATAAGTAGTAGAAACAAAACTGAAGTCAGATAATCACTAGTTTTTCTAGCATCTGATAGCACATTTGTCCAAAAGATGCATATAAAAAACAGAAGATCAAGTATTGGCAAAGGATTGTTTGGACTTTATAGCAAGTAGTTTTGGTTTACTGCAAAATTATGTGTTGTCTTTAGAGAAGAAGTTAAGAAATTATGAAACATTGTTAGACATGTCATTGAGACTATTTTAAGGTGGTGAATCATGCTGTAGTGGTATAAATGGTTTTTTAATATATATTTAATGATTTGCCAAACTATATGTGTCAGGACTGATATGACTGTATGCATAATTGCATAATATGTAATTTGTTAAAAAGATCAGAGTCTCGTGCATATCACAACACTAAAATTTATATTATAGTGGAAAGTGATAGTAAAAAGTTATCAGTTTTACATGAATCAACTTTACTAAAGATGAAGGCAAGTACTGTAAGCTCTAATGTCAGTTTTTGTATGGAAGATTGACTAATTTATAACTTATTTTAAAATACAATTCTGGATTTTAGCATTGTAAATTCATAAATGTACCACTGACCCATTGGAGGATTGTATTTTGTGACATTCTAATAGTTTATCATTTCTGCTATACATATGTTTGGCACATGCTCTTTCTGATTTATTCTGTGTAAGGTCACCATTTCAAAATATGATAATCATTGTTAGCAAAGGTTTTGAAATATATATATATATATATATGAGAAATTGGCATAGGTGTCAAAAAAGTAAGTTCCCTTGGAATTTGATGAAGATTGCAGTTCCTGTTCTTAAAAAAAAGATAAAAAAATAATAAATTGGCAGGCTTCGTTATCTGTATGGTTTCTTAAGCTTAGTCTATGTGAGTTATAATTAGGTACCAGTTTGTGCTGGTATGAATCACTTCCATGCAAAAGCTTCCCTGATCACACTTATTGTCCTTTGTTTTTGGGGTATAGATGGTCCTGGACTATTTAATTACATATGCTAAAAACACTTATCTTATTTCTATTTGTTTATTTTTGTTGCATTTTTTATTCCTGTGGGAAAAAAAAATATATATGTATATTGTTATGAAAGTGGTAGTCACATGACACTGGTAACACGTCGTGATATTCTAGAAGGATCGGAGAACATCAATAATACTCCAGTATGAGCTAGGACCCCTCTATTCCTGTATATAAGTGCGCTGGATAACATGAGACAAATTAATCGGAATTGAATTGCAGACAGGCAGAGATAAAGACGGATAACTGAGTCAAGCGCGGTAGGGACCGATAGTAAGTGCGGGAACTATT